CTCATCTGATCATTTCCAGCTGGAATCTTTGCAGAAAAAGTGATAAAAAAGGTTGTGTGAAAAGAGCACAAGTTTCAGAGCAAGTTGCAGCCGAAATTCATATAAAAATGCGTGCAAGAAAGCGCGGCCTAGCTCGTGTTTTGACCCTCCGTTTTGCTTTTTTTTTTTTTCTAGGTTTGCTCATTCTGGGCAGATTTCATCCTTGCTCTGTTTTTATACCAACTTCCCCTGATATTTTCTTAATGATGGAGGCTGAACTAGCTCTTGTGTAAAACGTAAAAGTTGTAGCCTTTTGAGTTGCTTTCCAATGCATCAAGAATAATCCAATTTGGAGCTTTGTAGACCAAGAAATGACTACAATAGCCTCAACTGGTCAGAACTCTGTTTCAGCTTTCAACAATGAAAATATACTTCTGTATTTTGACATTCTAACAAGGAAAACGGCTAAACTGGACTTCGATGTCTCATATCAATTGTAGATCTATCTCTTAGCTTCAATATGGTACAAGAATCACCTTAATCCAATGCTTGTAGCTCAATATATAGTCAAAATACTAAAAGGTGTCAAAACTGGAAAACTTGCATTTCATTTTTTGAGTATTTTACACTTCATGTCTTCTTTAAATCACTTTAAATCATCAATAATCATCCAATTATCTTTTCAAATCACTCCAATTGATGATTGAATCATTAAACCTACAAAAACATGAAGTTTTCACCATTAAAATCAATAGAAATGCAATTTTTACCACTTAAACCACAAAATGCATATTTTCACTAGAAATCTAGTTCATAAGCTATAAAACTAATTAAAACACACCAAAACTAATTAATAAAACACACTTAAAATACTCAAAATACACACCTATCAAAGGTGAAGAAGAAAAAAAGTGTTGAAACCAAGAGGAAAGATTCTAGTTTCTAATCCAATTCCATTTGACAATGTGGCAAATTGTGGACTACTTGGTCTATGGGTAGGGCCATAGATTAGGTCTACCAAGTATTTGCCTATAGATAAAGGATGAAATGCATTTTATTGGAAGAATTGCAGTTTTGATCCTCAATGTTTGGCATATATGTCAAATTGGTCCCCAAATTTTCAACTAAAACAAATTTAGTCCCCAAAACTTGTAATTTTAAATAGATATAGGATAACTAACAAAAATAGAACATTGACTAACTAACAAAAATAACTTGGACTGCGCACTTTTGTTCCACAAGATTTTGAATCATTATGTTTTCCTAAATTTTAAATAGTGATTTTAAGGGTTTTAACATAAATTAAAATGCAAATTAGAATGAAAGAGTATAAATGGATAAAAAGAATTCTAATTAAACTTCTTTTTCTTTTTAATTAAATATCTCTTTAAAATTTAAGAAATATATATTTTTTGTAAACTAAGTTGATTTTTTTGGCATTTTAATAGGTTATCGATTGAGTTTGAAACGAAGTTGGCATTTTATACACATTATATGACCCATTAAATGATTATCAAGGTATATAGTAACAACAGCTCTGAACGATGTAATATTTTTTGAACAAAGTGTAAATCTATGTGAATTAGTTGTAAAACTTAACAACAGTGACACAATTATTACATATGAGACCCACATGAACAGTGACAAAATATCACACCTCTGCTGTAAGGATGTAAAAGAAATTTACATAAAGTTACAAAATGTTACACTGTTTAGGGACGGTTGATCTGTCAACCGTCCCTACCCCTCCTCCCCTTGCAATCAGAATCACACTATGCTTTTCAAGATTCAAATTAGATCAACATTAACTCAATCCTGTGAACTATTCATTTCAAAAACTTTTTAAAAAATTACAATTAGAGGGGCAATTTGTCCCAAACCTCAATGGACTACCCATACCCAAAGGGACCTTGGGCATGAGGGTATTCTAATTTTGATGTTGGACTTGAAATGGGATTAATCCTATTGATACCCATTAATTGATGAAATTTTTTTAAAAATACTTGGGTACCCATTGGGGTCCAAATATCTCACCAAAAAATTAACCTATCAATTGTTGTATATTTTTTACTGACTCAAGTGAACCATTTTTATTCTTCCAGTTAGATCCTTCAGTTTTTTTCTTGTAATTATGCTTAAAACCCCCCATCTAGTTTCCTGAACTCTTTTCTCCCTAAGAAATCAGTTTTTTCTCCTTTTTTCGTAAAAATTCTGTTGCCAGTCTTAATTGAGAGTACTTTTTTGAAAAATGTTGAAAAAAAACTTCTTGTTTTAAGATGGGAACTCGATGGTTGTGTAGTTAGACTAAAGAGCGCCCAAACAGGGCTGGTGGGAGCTCTTTTAATCCTGTAAATGTTTTTGAACTTCTTTTCCAATAGAATACTAACCAAAATGAATATTGGGAGTAATATGGAAGTCATTATTCTGTAATCTTATTAGAAAATACTTTGTCCAATTTTGGTCATTTTATGATGGCTCATAGTTCCAAACGCCATTTCTTTATACTCATAAATACAACTACTTTTGAGTATTTATAGGACTTATTTTTGCCACAACTAAAATTTAGCAACATTGGAAATCAAAGATTAAAAAGTTATATATACACAGAAAATAAATAAAAGAAAATTTGAGGGAAAAATAATTTAGGAAAATATAAAATTCACAGTGAGACTAAAAGAAATTTAATAAATAAAAAATATTAAAGTTATATAAAAAATAAAAAAGAATTAAAGGAAAAAAGGAAAACACAAAATAAACTTGGATATTAGGCGAGATCAATCTAAACCCGTCCCAAAGTGATCATGCCCAAATTAGTTCTAAAATACATATGGGTAAGGTTGGACATAAATCCATATTACTCGGTCTTATCTCAGACTCAAATAAAACCCACCCATCCCACCCATTTTGCCACCTCTAATGACAATGAATATAGTCCAGAATCCGGTTCGGATCAACCTAATGTGGTCGGATTTGAACGGTAAAAATAATACTGTGCAGTTGCGCCACTAACTATTCTTAAGGGAAGTGAAAAAGCCTCCTATAATTGGTAGGAGTTACCCTTAACAACCAACAAAAAGAAACAAAAAAAAAAAAAAGCCCAAGCGAAAAGGCTTAACATAAAATTGCCCGAATGGATATGTTTACTTTATACAAGTTCATTTAGGTTTGATATATAACTCCTTTGTCTATATTTTTCGTCGTAGCTATATATGTCTAGTGCAGCATGTATATATGTCTTATTCTAACACGAAGTTTAAACTTTACATTACACTAAAATACCTGGTGAGCCCTTAACATTGAGTTCTTTCAAAGAATTTTTCCCGAGTTTGGTGATGGAATGGTGTCATTGTCGTTCCGCCATTGTACGCTTTTTGGTAGACTATGTTGTTACCTTCGGCTTGACTATTGGAAAACTTGGAGTTAGGACGTAAGAAAGCTGAAGAGATCATTTATCGAAATCTTAGAAGGAACAAGATTGGTGTTACATGTATAATTGCGACTGTTTGGCACTTATGGCAGGAGAGGATCAGCAGGGTTTTTAAGCAAACCAGCAAAACCAATGTTCAACTTGTTGCAGCAATTGTAAATTGTGTCCAATCAACGTGTGTATCTTGGGAGAGTGCTGCAAGAACAAAGGAAAATCTGGAACTAATGCTCGAATGGGGATTTGAATATAAGTGTTTGATGAGATCGATAGGTATTATATGTATATATGAGCCATTAACTAAGTACTTAGTGACTATAGAGATAGAGGCTTTAGAGTATATAGTGCTGATAGATACAGGAAACAGAGATATGATGTAATAGATGTAGAGCTTATTGTACAATTATGCTGAATTCAATTAAAGAAAATACTTCATCCAAAAAAAAAAAAGATTGCTAGGTTAGATATATACGAGAATCAACAAATTTGGAGGTGGTCTATTGGGTTCAACAAAAATCCGTATGCTCTTTGCCCGCTTGTGGAACATTTGGAGCAACATTGCTGACTTAGATATACACGATAGTAAACAAGCTTAGAGGTGGTATAACTGGTTCAAGAAAACGCGCTTTCTTCCCAAATCTACCCTTTTTGGTTGGGTAATGCAACAGGCTCGGACTAATATGCTATGTTTCCAGATTTGGATTGGATATCGACTCGGTTGAATTCAGGGGTCAATGGGTTCGACCGGATTGAAGGTTGAACTGGATGACGTCATAAATACGCCATATATATATGTGTGTGTGTGAATTTTTTCCCTATAAATCAACTATACAAAATATAACCAAGAACTAATAATCCAAATCCAATTCAATTCATGTAGCAACAATATATATATATATATATATATATATATATATATATATATATGTCATGTTTTTCCTGTAAATCAAATATACAAAATGTAACCAAGAACATGTAGTAACATGTTGAATTGGTCGTAGTAACTAATCTCCCACTATGGAACTCTTCCTAGTAATTATAACCAAGAAAATTTGACTTCTAAGTCTTTGAAGCTTTTCTAGTTTTGATGTGCACCGTTCTTACGAGCTGAAAAGATCATTAGTACTAGAATTTCGATTCTTATTAATTGTTCAAACGAAACAGGAACACCTTGATCCTGCACCCTATATATTCTCGTTACTGTATTGCATATTTACTGAGGCGACTTTTGTAACTTAATCCAATGTTTTGAAAACCGGATTGGATTGGCTGATTCGACCGGTTGAACCGCGAACCGACCATGGCACCGGTCCGATTCTATGTCATTGTTGACTTTACTAGAAAATCGGTCAAAACCCGATTGAACCGTAAAAATCGCCAAACCGGATTGAACCGGCGGGTTTTCAGTTTTCAACTTTCCCTTTTTTTTTTAAGTTTTGCAAAATGCAGCCATCAAGATTCGAACTCAAGACCTTTGTAATAGAAAACCAATGTATCAACCATTGCACCATCACATTTTATTAGTTTTTTTGATAACTTTTTTTTTCCAACAAACGATAATAGATTTCATTAATATTAACACTTGATAATACAAGTATTAGTTACAAAAAGGGGATACTACCCTCATTTCTTTCATCCCTAACTCAATCAGCCATATTGGGAAGTCATTTTCCCATTCAATGTTATGCACTAGTTTAACTGCAAAATGAGCTAGTGCATGACTGATTACATTTGCTGTTCTAGAAATAAACAGAAAAGAGCACCTGTCAAAGCCTTTTCTAAGCTCCTGTACATCCTCTAGAATAGTTGCAATGTTGTACTCATATTCACTGCATCTGTTAATTTGCTCAACCACTGATTTGCAATCTGAATGTACAATAATTTTCTTCCACCCAGCTTGCTTGGCCATCAGTAGAGCATTTCGTATTGCGAGTGCCTCTTCCATGCTCGCTGTTCCTTTCCTCTGGTGCACATTTCCTTTCGCTCTCAATATGATTCCTTTCCAGTTTCTTGCAATGATCCCTTTTCCAGTCCTGATCATTTTTGCAGAAATGGCTGCATCCGTATACAGACATACCACATCTTCCCTTGGTTGCTCATTTCTTGCTTGTTGTCCACTCCTATTCTGGGTTGCTCTGCTCTCCTGCTCAGATTCCCTTTCTTGTTCAAATTCCAACCACTCCTCTTGTGCTTTTTGTGCAGTGTTATGAGGTTCCTGATGAGCACTATCAAAAATTCTCTTGTTTCTGGCTTTCCAGATGTGCCAGAATATGTTAATGGTGAGATTAACTCTAGCTTGACCTTGTTCCATCGAGAGTGATTGCATAGCTTTCTCCCACCATTTGATAACTTATTTGTATAAAACAAACACTCATATTTCTTTTTCCATTTTTCTTACAAAATTTCATTCTCTCATGGTTCTTTCTTTTTAATCTTCAACTCTCTCTCTCTCTATCCTCTTTTCTTTTATCACTCCCTTTTTAATCAAATCTCTTTATTTTTAATTTATTGATGTTTTCTTCCATCTTTTAATTTTGTTTTTGTCCATTAAATTAAAAAGAATTATTTTTCTTTAACCCAAATTATTTAATGCCACAATCATTCATTTTTATCTCATTTTTTGTTTCTTATCAAGTTTACATTTCTATTTTCGATTCTCTTGACTTCTTTCGAACTCCAAATTTCCTTTTTTAAATTGCAATATTTAAATCCCAAAACATAAATTAAAATTTAAGATCACAATGTCTAAATTCTCATAGACGTGAATTTGTATAATTTCAAAATATTGTGATATTTTTGGGTTGGATTTAGATATAATTGAAATTGAGATGAAATTTATTGTTTTAACTTATAATTTAAAAAATTTATTTTTAAAAACCCAAGTTATTAAAAAATAGTAAACTTTTCATCATATAAAGTATTAAATTAGTCCATTACATGTCTTATTTTGTGCATATATATATTTATATAAATTATTTTTAAAAAAATTCATTGAACCGGAGTTGAACCAATCCGACCGGTTGAATCTCGACCCCCTTTCACTTTACCGGTTCAATTAACGGTCTGATTTTTAAAACATTGACTTAATCAAACACTTTATGAGATAAAAAAAAAAAAAAGGAAACTTATCAAACACTTAAATGTATATAGCTTTATCATTTGACAAACCAACATATCTAATAAGAATTCCATGCGCAAGAGCAATCAGCAAAGTCGAAGCAGTAGACAATCCAAGAGAGTGACATATATGAAATCATCCTTCCTCAGTCCTCACCTGCAGTAACAACCAACCAAAAAAGCCAAATTTTTTTTTTTAAAAAAAAAAAAAACCCCAACAACCCAAAAAGGGGGAAAAAATTGGAATTTTTGCTTTCTACGCAATTTAGACATCAGAACCATACAAGGCGGCCGCCAAGCCACTTAATAGAAGTTCTACAAATATAAGACCAAACTAATAGAAGACGTTGCCGAGTGCTGAGTGCAAGACAAAAACTGAAAAAAGGGCAAAACTAATAGAAGTTTTGAGAAAATTCTACCTGCTTCTTCTAGTCATGCTTGACCCTTGAAGTTTAAGTCCGAACTTCGAAGGAGATGGCAGCAATGCAAGCTTGAAGTCTGAAAATTTCCAGAGGAGAGGCGGCTGCAACCTTTGAGGAGCGGCGGCGGACTCCCGGTGGAAGAGCTAGGTTACCAACAAAGATTTCGTTTTGCAAACTCTGCAATTTTCCAGCTTTTTTTCCTCTTTTTTGCTTGTTTTAATCGGTCAAAGGGAAGACCAGAGAAAGTCAGTTTGGAAAAAAAATTAGGCCAAAAAAAAAAGAAGAAGGGGAAAATCGGGTTTAATACAACTACACCAATTCACCGGTTAGACTCGGGTGTTGACTGGGTTTTATTGATTTTCTAATTACCGAGTTTTTATATTGACTCGGACGGATTACTTGATCGGTTCTCAATTTGACCGATTCAACTAATCGATCCAGTTCAAGTCTGAAAACAATGCTAATATGATTTAGGTTCAAATTTGTTCTCACCCTTATTGCTACATGGCTCCTTTAAATAAATTCTCATAGTTGCACTTTTTATTTTTTATGTATAAATTTCTTATTTCTTGTTTTCGATTATTGTCAGCTGAACCCTTCTAATTTAATTCAACAAATCGTAGCATATTCTATCTCACTAGAGTCCAACATCTTGCCCAATTTTGTGTGGTAAGGTAGTTGTCGATTATCTCGAATAGCGAAGGGGATGGCAAGTTGGTGGGGGTGGAAAAATTGTAGAAGGACAACAAGAAAATAAAATAGAAACAAAGATAAAAGAAGCAAACAGGTTTTTTGAGAAAAATTTTAACATTTATATAGGCTTAATAAGAGTCCATATATATTCCAATTCCTACTCGTCTTATTAATGCATTCATGATCCCAAATGTACTTGGGCTTGAATCCCAAGCATTTTCAGGTAGAAAATAGAACATAGGCTCCTTCCCCACATATACATTACACCAAGAAGAACACCCACAAACACTAACTTATCAAATTTTAAGACATTGCAACACTAATTAAACTAGAGATGAAAACCTCAGAGAATTCTACAAGACAACATCCATGCACGATTTTTCAAGGAAAAAAGGCACTAGACCACATAAAATTGTGATTCTCATGGAATTTCATAGTCATCTCATTCCCAGAACCAGAACCCTTGTTTTGACCAGGGTTATTCATCCACTGGTTGAACCAGCCAGTCCTTGGAATCCCATCCACAGGCATTGATGGTTCACCTGGTGGTGTTGTTGGCGGCTTAGCTTGTTGAGGAGGAGCCATTTTCTTGAGAAATTCAATTCTTTTCTCAATCTTCTTTACATTCTGATCAACAAGCCACCCCAGATCATGCAAGTCCGCCATCATCAGGTCCTGTATACCTCTTCCAGTCAAGCATTGGTACATCACCTCAGTCATCTCCTTCTCGCGATTTTCCTTGCATTGTTTCCTCAGCTGTTCATTGGCTTTGGCAATCCTGTGCTTGATGAAGCCCTCCTGATTCACCATCTTCTTGCTTTGCTCCATTTCTGGCATTCTTTTGAACCGTGAAATCACGAGTTGAACTCCCACCGGGCCAGGCCAAACCTCAGGTTCAGATTCATATGGACTATATACAATTGCACAAGCATCAACACCACAAAGGGTGCTGAGTTCGCTTACCTTCTTCAGCAGACCCTTCTTCCTTTTCTTATAGGTTGCTTTTCTTGCCGAATCATTAGTTATGAAAGCCAGTTTTACCTTTTTCCTAGTCATGGCTAAAGGGGAAAAGCAAGGATGCAAGTCAAGATTGGGAAGGAAGGATATGGTAGTTTGCTGATGCTATGTTGTTTCTAGTTCCAAATGGCCATTGCTATATATACTGATGTTGAATGGGTCAGAATTAATACCAGAGATCTTGCAAATAACATTATTGATTGTTGGGATTATGATGATTTGAAACATATCCTTTTGTTTGTTTTTGTTTTTTGGTAAGTGTAGAGCTAATATGGTAAGATATTATAGCCATTTGTTACTGCCATTTATATGGTAAGTACTAAGTAGTAATATGTATTTAGTTATAGATTTAATTGTCAGAGCCATGCTTGATATATACACCATAAATTTTCCTAAATCTCTCAATCCAATGACTTACCTTATTTTTTTTCCCCTTCTTTGTAAGCAACGACTTACCATATTACCACACCTATGTAACTATGATAATGACTTAACATACCGGCTCAAAAAAAAAAAAAAAAAAAAAAAAGAAGAGAGACTTGCCATACTGATTCCTAAATCTCTCAATCCGTTGATCTCTCAATCCATTGACCTTAATCTTGATCTCTCAATCCATTGACTTACTATACCTCTTCCAAAATTTCCTAAATGATTGACTTCTTCAAAAAGAATTTACTGTAGCTCTTCCAACATTTCCTAAATGTTGTCCGAATTTTTGTAGACAAATTCATTTGGTAGAAATTTAGTAAATTCTTCTTCTCAATCCATTGACTTCTATACTTCTTCCAAAATTTCCTAAATGATTGACTTATTGGCTACGCAAGAAGAAGTTATCCTTAAACTAACATATTAAGGGTCCATTTGTTTCCAACTAATGTTGTCTGAATTTTTGTAGACAAATTCATTTGGAAGAAATTTAGTAAATTCTTCTTCTCAATCCGTTGACTTCTACACCTCTTCGAAAATTTCCAAAATGATTGACTTAGTGGCTACGCAAGAAGAAGTTATCCTTAAACTAACGGATGAGGGGCTGATGATCGCTCCTGAACTGTTCACGGCCAGATTTTGGCCAGAAAAAAATGTGTGGTCCAGATCACTAGTTGTACATCGATTTTCACAATGTGTGTGGGACCCGCAAAATTTTGTACTAAAGTTACACGTTGTGCAAATAAAGTTGCGCCGTGTGCAACCAAGGTTACGCGCTGTTGAAAATGACCAAAACCGCAACCGTTCCTGCCCTTTGTCCTAAACTAACATATTAAGGGTCCATCTGTTTCCAACTAATGTTGTCTGAATTTTTGTAGACAAATTCATTTGGTAGAAATTTAGTAAATTCTTCTTTTTGGGGAAATTATTCAAATCTTTCAGCGCGAACAATAATTGGTTTTTGTACTTATATGTAGGGGTGTTAAAAAAGAAGTGAAAAAGCGGGTAACCGAGAAAATCGAATTGATCCAAACCAAAAAATATGATAACTAACCCGTAATTTTAAAAATTGTTAGGTTACCCGAATCTACTTGAAAATTTTGGTTAGACTATGGTTTTCCATTTACAAAAACCACGGTTACTTGAACCTATCGGCATATGTGTAAGGTTAGTTAAGATAATCAGCATCCAAATCTGAACCATAATTATTTAGTCATTTACTAATAATTTAAGTTACGAGACCCAAGCCATTATATATTTTATTTTTCACAACTTGTAAATTTGTATGTTTAACCGTATCTTCCATTTACTTTTTTTGTTTCCTACATTTGTTGCCACTAATTTCATTTATTCTTCTATTCTATTTTTTTTTTGTTTTTCTTCAAAATTTCTTTTCCTTTCTCATAATTTCTATCCACTTCACCACTCTACTTTTTATTTTTAATTTTTTAGAGCTTACATGTTTGGTTGTGAAGCAATGAAGCAGTCTTTCATCTTTAATATAAAATGAATTAATAGTTTTCAAGAAGTAGGGAAGACGAAAATAAATGTTCAAAATATTTTATGTTTTAATTATCTATTGTTCTTTGATTTTCTATTTTGTTGGTAGTTTTTTAGAGTTGTAGGATTAAATACTCATATTAACTTAAACAACTGCTGTGTTGTTTTCTTTGTTAATTTAATTTTTTTTCTCCTACATGTACAAGAGGGTTAGGTTATCTTGTATACCTGATCCTATCTTATAGGGTAATCGATTGAATAAGGTTAGGATATGAAATGCAATTTTACTTGCAGTTAGGGTTAGCAAAATTGCAAATGGACTAATTATCTAGTCCATGAATGCCCCTACTTATATTTACTTATATGCAGACACAAGAACCAAGAAAAAAAATAGAAAACGGTAATACAACATTGCCAGCTTTAGCATGTGTTCCGAAAGATCAAATGAGTTGCAACATGGGGTTTGTTAAACTTGTTAATAAACAAAATCTTACCTCAAGCGAGCTTTTTTCCATCATGGACCAGTCAAATTAGCTTTTCCACAACGACTCCGTTTTGATTAACTTTCATAATTGGTAAAACCAATTATTAGAAACACAAAAAAATTATTTAACTAGGCTTATATATAAATGCTAGAAAGTACGTTTCAATAAGTCGCTTTCCTCAATAATTAGAACAATATAATTGCTTTAATGAAGAACAAGTATAAGTTCTTGAAATTCTCATATTTTATCTCAGTGTTAAGATACGCAAGCACATTATAGCTAGAAAATTTACTGTCTGATTTGAAGGACAGCTTGGGATAATAATAATAATAATAATAATAATAATAATAATAATAATAATAATAATAATAATAATAATAATAATAATAATAATAATAATAATAATAATAATAATAATAATAATAATAATAATAATAATAATATAATAATAATAATAATAATAATAATAATAATAATAATAATAATAATAATAATAATAATAATAATAATAATAATAATAATAATAATAATAATAATAATAATAATAATAATATAATAATAATAATAATAATAATATAATAATAATAATAATAATAATAATAATAATAATAATAATATAAAATAATAATATAATAATAATAATAATAATAATAATAATAATAATAATAAAATAATAATAATAATAATAATAATAATAATAATAATAATAATAATAATAATAATAATAATAATAATATAATAATAATAATAATAATAATAATAATAATAATAATAATAATAATAATAATAATAATAATAATAATAATAATAATAATAATAATAATAATAATAATAATAATAATAATAATAATAATAATAATAATAATAATAATAATAATAATAATAATAATAATAATAATAATAATAATAATAAATAATAATAATAATAATAATAATAATAATAATAATAATAATAATAATAATAATAATAATAATAATAATAATAATAATAATAATAATAATAATAATAATATAATAATAATAATAATAATAATAATAATAATAATAATAATAATAATAATAATAATAATAATAATAATAATAATAATAATAATAATAATAATAATAATAATAATAATAATAATAATAATAATAATAATAATAATAATAATAATAATAATAATAATAATAATAATAATAATAATAATAATAATAATAATAATAATAATAATAATAATAATAATAATAATAATAATAATAATAATAATAATAATAATAATAATAATAATAATAATAACAGCAGCAGCAACAAGAACAACAATAATAATATCTAAGATATTAGAATCATAACAGCAATTTGGCCACATTATAAGCCATTAAGTCTTATGGTCTGTTGTCATGCAGTGTTGGTGGCTTTTGTCATTCAGTGGTGTGGGCGACGAGAGAAAGAGTTGCTTCTTTTCTTCAACACTAGGAGGCACAAACGCGCTTCGCGCGATGGAAATCGAAAATGCCCTGGCCAGTTTTATATTGACCAAAAAGCATAATATATGAGGTATTAAAAATAGTAATTTATCTAGAAATCATTATTTGGCTGTAGTTTAACACATAAACCACTAATTGCAAGTCAAGATTTTGGCTGTTACAAATGATCACCCACAAAACAGATTAACATAGAATGCAAAAAAAAAAAAAAATTGTACATAAATACTTATAAAAAATTAAGCCACGTACAAACTAAATGGCATTTGAGCCATATTAATCAACAACCTAACTACTACAAAATATTTGTGGTTGAATTCTTTATAAGAATGATATCTACACATTAACTAAAAACATCTACTAAACTGTTCTCTAGAAAAAGACTAAACAGATTAAAAAATTACAATAATCAATTTAACATTGAGTCGCACTCCTAATCAGACTACATGAATGCCTAACACAGCACAACAGATTCCTCCTTCTTAGCTACTCTACCACATGATCCTGCACTTCAACATTCTGAAGCAAAAAATCACAAGGATAATCATAAACAGCATAAGAATAAATAGCCAATATACCCCACAATGTAAATTTGTCTCTCGACTCCATTGCAAAGGATCAGCCCCACAATGTAAGGTATGCATAAGACCATGACAACCATTAAGAACGTCATTTTTAACGATCCAAATTCTATTCCTTCAATAGAAAAATAGACACACAAAGAATTTCAGTTTCATACAAAATCAATAGACAAGAAGCACAAAATTTCCTCCATATGTCACAATGTCAAATACCAAAAGCAATTCAACTCAAATATCTGAGGTACAAACTCAAACAAAATTCAAAACTGCATTGAAAATTGGATTCTTATCAACAAGAACTTATTTTATTGAAAATCTGGTTTTTTTCTCAAGGATGAAGTTCAAACATACTCAAAACATTGACCGTGATTTTAGAAAAAATTTCATTATTTATAGCCATATGAAAACACAACCATTAACCTTTGACAGTTAACCTTCTTTGAATCTAGGGAAAAATTGCATTTTTGTTGGCAATATATATATTCTATCAGTTTCCACAAGATCAACCAAATTAAACTAAAATTCATGAGAAAACAGAAGATTTGAGGCTGTCAGCAAGTGCAACTTCACTAGTAATAATCGCAACACACCAAACATCTAAAACAAAGCAAAAAAATAGACATTAGGAATGACTCAGCATGCAGTCAACACAAAACTAACTGTAATTTCTCTCTTGCGATCAGTCCATTATATATAAAAAGAACAAAAGTAAGTCAAACTTTTTGGCATTACATTTGGAATGACTCAACAAGCAACCAAAACAAAGAAAACTGACTGTAATTTTAATCTTGCGATTGGTCCATAATATATAAAAAAGAACAAAAGTCATTAACTTTTTGGCATTCCATTCACATTTCATGGTGGAAACTAACCTCAGCAATCATGAGTAACTATTCTCTGGCAGTTTGGCAGAGTGATTGCCTGCAAATATACATCATAAGAGTAATGAATATGATGGGGAAAACATCTGTACACAAATCATAGCATGTACTACAATATTTTCCACTCCCTAATGAGACCAATAGTTGTATATTGATTTAATACCCTCCTATAACAGTTCTATCATGACGTTCAAGCTACATTATAGAAGAAAAAATAGTAAAAAACAAATAGAACAGGTGATAGAGGGGCTCTAATTACTCAATTGCAAATCAATGTTAATACAGGTGCTGCTTTGATATTGACCTAACAGATGATACTAACATGTTCATTGCATCAGTCTTTGGTGACTTATCAGGGATTGCCCAAATTCACTACACTTCAGGCAAGCAAATCCCGTAACATAAAAGGGCTACACTTCGCTGCAGCACAACCTCTGTTGAGCACAGAAGAATAACCTACATAATCAACAGAAAGATGAGTATAACAATTACTGAACTTTGTGGCACAAAACAATCGCAGAATAAGCCAAAAAATAAACAAAACAAAAGAAATGGCACAAAAATTAGGAAAAGAAAACAAACACAATTAAAGGATGACTAAAACAGGTAGTTCTACATCATTTATACCAATTGTAATCATCATTCATCCCTTGATGTACATACCATAAAGAATTCATTAGCTATGAGCAAAGGATTCATTAGCTCAAATGAATGCTGCATTTTGAGAATGCACAAGAACATACCTTGGATTTGCATATTCTGGTAAGTATTGCAACAGGAAACGAAGAGCAGTATCTCTCTACAGCAACAAAATCATAACATATTTATTAGGCATATTATTTGAAAAGCCAAAAACTCAAGGATGGGAAAAAAAGAAAATGTCTGTTCCTTTTGGTTCCTTTGTTTCGAAAAATTATGGACACAGGGAGAGAAATATCATTATCAGAACAGTGCTTGGCCAAACAAGAGGAGGGTTTCTTTTTTCTAGGAGGAGAAAAACCTATTATGTTTACTTATGATCTCTTCATTTCTAACTGCTAAAAATACACCGAAACAGAAAATGAGAATACAAAAAATCTGAAATTATCTATATAAAACATCAAGACAGGGGAATAGGATTCAGCTAGACCCAAAAATTATGTAAAAAGTAGCTACCATTTTGACAGTTAGGATCTTGAAGTTTTAGTTCTTCCAGTGCTAATAAAGATGATGGCAAAATTATGGATGAGCTTTAAGGGAAGATTATTAATTTCTTGTGCCAGGCAAAGAGAGAGGCTAACCAAGCAATTGAGTTGCATAGCTATTCCACATTAAATGGGAAAGCCTAGGAAGAAGAGTTACAGCAACATTTCCTCTTCCGCCACCCGGCAAACTCCCTCAGTCCTGCCCTCTCTAATCTTGCTGTCATGGTGTAGTACTTTTGAAAGTTTATACTTGTAATCATCCTTCTAGGACCACTTATCAATTAAGTATTTTATGTTTATTGAGTGCGATTTTTACTATATGTTTGAAGCAAGATGAAACCCTTGGCAACTCAATTTCAGTTAACATACTGAAGCACATTACATATACTTTTGCACAGTACTATACTGAAGCAATGGGTAAGTTATCATCTAGGCTATCTGATCAATGAGATTATCATAGCCAACAGGTATTATGAAGGAACTTTAGTCAAAGAAAAGAAAATGGATGGTCAGCTTGTTCATTCAAACCCAAACTTTTTCGGATGAAAGAAACAAGAAATGAATAAATGTATAACTATGAGCTGGACCTTACACAAAGGTATAATTAGGCTTTCTAACTCTGGGCATCAAAATCAAAGCTTCCTTGCCACCTGAACTCTAGGCAAATCGAGCATTTTAAATCTGCAATATCAAAATTTCAAAAAATCAACTTTCAGTTTATTCACCATTAACAGGAAGAAATACAAAGAGGAAAAAAAAACTAATCAAAAAAATACATAAAAATAGTAACAAAAATCAAAGAACATAAAATTTTAAAAAAATATATATAACAAGAAGAAATACAAAGAGGAAAAAACGAAGCACAAAAATACATAAAAATAGTACATAAAAATAGTAAGAAGACTCAAAGAACATAAAACTTTTTAAAATTACAAAAAATAAACGATACCTCTAATCCATGGCTGCAGTAACAGTCGTTGATTCTCTGAAACTAAAATTCCTAAAAAACTTAGAGATATATACAGAACACTGTGAAATTATATCGATCTATTGAATGTAAGGCTTTTCGGCAACTGCAAGCAAATCCGTGGGCAGATAAAAGAGCCATAGATTTTGCAGTCCCGGAGAGCCCAAAAATTTTCTAAAATTTAAGGGAGAATCGGGGAAACATTAGCTTTGCAGTTGATCGGAGAATGAGAGAGAAGGGACTGACAACCTCTTTTTAGAGGAGAGGGTATAAGTGGACTTACGAACACACCAAAACCAACTATAGTCAAAGCGACGCCTCTGTGAAGCATTCCATCCAACACCTTATGGGCATCCTTTAGGTAGCTAATAGAGGATAGGGAGATGATATGGTGGCAGAGGAGGGAACGAAGAGAGTCTGAGGAGATGAAGGGCGAGGGAGTGGAGATCTAGGAAGGAAGGCAGTGAAAGATGTTGATGATGGCGAGGATTTAGCGGAGGGATTGGAAGTCCTAGAATCCCAGGGCTGGTGGGAGATGGGGTGCTTGTGATGTTGGGTGTCGGAGAGGGAGATGATGTGGCGGCGAAGGAGGAGGGAACAGAGAGAGTCTGAGGAAAAAATACAGACAGGAGAGAGGAAGAGGAAGCAACGGGGAAAAAAAAGAGAAGAGAAAAGGAAGAAGAGAAGAGAGGCGGCGGCAGCGGAGGAAATTTACGAAAACCCTAGGGAGGAAGTATATGCAGACGTCTGGCGCATTGCGCGGAAAAAAAAAGGCTGGTGACTCACATGATTGGCACGTGAGAGGACGACGAAAAACCTCCAGGTCACCACAGCCCTTCGCTCTTTATCTACTTATGTTGAAAAGAAGAGACTGCCATGCGCCTAGCTGTCTGCATGGCTTTGGAACTTCGATGCTGTCTGTCCGCGTGGCTTTGCTGCTGTCTGCCTGGCTTGCAGTCCAGGACTTTTTCAAAGATGGGCTCAATCCCAGACCTAGGCAAAAGGGAATTGATTTAGGAAATTTCCAGCTATCCGCGTGGCTTTGTTATGGGCACTGAATAGGGAGCCGCCGAATACACCAGCTACGCCTAACATGTGAAATGAGAAATTCCATTTCAACGAAAATTTTGCCACTTTGGATACATTGAGCCCAACAGAGATAGAGAGAGCGAGAGATGGTCCTGCACTCGTGGCATCTACCTTTGACTTTGATTTTCAAACCCTCATCTTACCTTTTAAACATTTTCAGTATAGATTGTAGAAGAAACAACTTACCATGTTGGACGAAATTCGTACTCATTTTTCGTAGCCATTTTGTTGACAATATTAATAAAACTCAAACCCATTGTTATAATGGCTCGATACTAGAGGTGACAAATCAACCCACCTAATTAAATTTACCTATACCCATCCATGAATAGATGGTATAAGTTCAAAATTTTTGAATTAAATTTTTATATTAATTTTTATAGTACTTAGTTCAGATTTTTATATTCTTATTATTCAATTATTAAATAATAGATAATTTTGTAACATAGAGTATAAATGAAAAAAAATTGATAATTAAATTTATTGAATATTATAAATAAATATTTAAAACTAATAATGGGTACAAAGAGTGGTATAAATTGATAACTTGTGTTGCAAAAATAAATTTAAATGAGTTTACCAAAAGTTAAAATAAATAAGTTGTAAATGGGTAATTGAGTTACACAATTCATTTTTTGACTTACCCATTTATACCTATCTAATTAAATGGGTATAAATGAGTTAATTTACTTATACCCATTATCCATTTTATCCAACCCAAATTCGTACTCATTTTTCTTAGCCATTTTGTTGACAATATTAATAAAACTCAAACCAATTGTTATAATGGCTCGATACTAAAGGTGACAAATCAACCCACCTAATTAAATTTACCTATACCGGTCCATGAATAGATGGTATAAGTTCAAAATTGTTGCATTAAATTTTTATATTAATTTTTATAGTATTTAGTTCAAATTTTTATATTCTTATTATTCAATTATTAAATAATAGATAATTTTGTAACATAGAGTATAAATGAAAAAAAATTGGTAATTAAATTTATTGAACATTATAAATAAATATTTAAAACTAATAATGGGTACAAATAGTGGTATAAATTGATAACTTGTTTTGCAAAAATAAATTTAAATGAGTTTACCAAAAGTTAAAATAAATAAGTTGTAAATGGGTAATTGAGTTACTCAATTCATTTTTTGACTTACCCATTTATACCTATCTAATTAAATGGGTATAAATGAGTTAATTTACTTATACCCATTACCCATTTTATCCAACCCAAATTCGTACTCATTTTTCGTAGCCATTTTGTTGACAATATTAATAAAACTCAAACCAATTGTTATAATGGCTCGATACTAGAGGTGACAAATCAACCCTCCTAATTAAATTTACCTATATCGGTCCATGAATAGATGGTATAAGTTCAAAATTTTTGAATGAAATTTTTATATTAATTTTTATAGTACTTAGTTCAAATTTTTATATTCTTATTATTCAATTATTAAATAATAGATAATTTTGTAACATAGAGTATAAATGAAAAAAAATTGATAATTAAATTTATTGAACATTATAAATAAATATTTAAAACTAATAATGGGTACAAAGAGTGGTATAAATTGATAACTTGTTTTGCAAAAATAAATTTAAATGAGTTTACCAAAAGTTAAAATAAATAAGTTGTAAATGGGTAATTGAGTTACCCAATTCATTTTTTGACTTACTCATTTATACCTATCTAATTAAACGGGTATAAATGAGTTAATTCACTTATACCCATTACCCATTTTATCCAACCCAAACCCACCCAAGTCACCCATTTCAACACCTCTACTCCATACTTTATATTCAAGCCCAATATTTTTGTTTTCCCACTTTAGCTTTCTTGCTTTGTTTTACCTTGAGAAGGAAGAATTTTCATGATAAACTAAATTTGTTCTTCACTACGATTTCCCTTGTGTTCCAACAAAGGAACGTTTAACTTAAAATAAATATTTCAACCAGGGGAAAAAAAACCAGTTTAAAAACAACTACATATAACGGTTGAAATCAATCTGAGTCTATCACTCCATCCCCCCTCTTTTCTTTTATAGTGTAAGTGAAAGAAGAGCTCGTTATTATAAACGACCTATATTCTTATGTGATAACACAGTACCGAAACACTATGGTTTCTTTTATTTACACATTTGACATTTTTTTCATCCAACGTCTTTAAAGAATCAGTTGATCTTCATTCTACATTAAATATATATATCTATATACATACACTGATACATCTATACCTTCTGTACAAAATTACTTTCTAATTATCGAATGCAATCATATTACCAATTATCATCGTTTAACCTACTCCATAAAATTAAATTAAATTAACACAAGTTAGGGCAACCTCGCGCGTAGCGCGAGGCCTAAAAAACTAGTATCTATAAAATTTTGGTAGTGAATTACTTAACATACATAACTCTTCAAAGAATCTTGTTATGGCCTATAGGCCCATGTTATTCATGTGAAAAAAAAAAACAATTTTGGGAGACATTAAGATAAGATTAACGAGCATGGATAATGTTGTCAAACATGCTTTTCATTCTTCGGAGTTGGAGATCATTGGAGCGCACAAAAAAAATTTCGTAAACTGTGGTCATGGATAATTCTGAATTACAAGATACTGTGGACATTTCCATTGCACAATAAATCACAAGAATTATACAACTGTGTTGCTCATGTAAATGTTGCAAGTTAAATTAACTTGTATACGTCCACGCTTAACATCTCCAACCAAGGCAATTGGTAATGACTAAAGTCCCAAATTAGGATTTATGTGATTGCTACAAAAAAATCTAATTATAATAAGAGTAGATCTTATATACACTGATGGAGAATGCACTATCACTGTTGTTAAATTCATGATATATGTGCAAAACTTAAATTTTAAATTTAAATTTTGAATAGTTATCATTTATCTAAAGTTAACCATGTATATACTGCCAGTGTATTAGAAGATTAATTCTTATTACTAAATAGTTCGAAGAATTTATCTAATTTTCAATAAGATCAGTCCATTAACATTTTTATGTTTCAAATTATATTAGATGGGTATCCAAGAGAGAGAAAAAAAATTAAAAAGACAAAAAAAATTAGCTAATTCAAAAATTTTTTTTGTTTGGTTTGCTAAAAGGAAAAAAGTATATTGCATTCTCCTAAGTGTATAGGTCATATTCTTAAGGATGTTCGAGGCCTGGTAAAAGGATGGAAAAAGGTGGATAGAAAGCAGGAAACTTTAAAGCTATGCGCTGAATTTGATATTCCTTTGCATTATTGATGACACTCTATAGACTTGTAGTATAGATTACAGGTTTCTTTTATTGATTTGATGTATTTGACTAAGGGACAATCCCTTCTATAGTTTACATTCTTCTCTGGATCAAGAAAAAAATAAGGAATTTACAAAAAAAAAAAAAAAGTAAAGAAATTTGCATTTAGATGGTCATTAAAGCTTGGTCTAAAACAATCCATCTTATTTAGGAGTTAATGATGCATTCACTTATATTCATACTAGTGATCAATGCACACACATCCGTCGTGAATCATATGATCTAGTGAAAAATATGATAGACTATGATAGGGTATAATTTGTTAGTAATTTTATTATTAATTTCCCCTTTTATCCCTGATAAATATTGTGTTAATTGCTGATATTCACTCATATTTGGTATCTGAACTTAATTTCAGGAATGAAGCAGGAAACTACCAAAAAGGAAGGACTTTATGGGAAATAGGGAGACTTCTACGGGCTTCAATTCTTGGGCCCTTGAATTGGTGGGGAACCACAAGCTAGTGGAAGGCATCTACTCCTTTGGACTCTTAAAAGAAAGCTACGGAAAGAGACTTGAGGCAAGAAGTACTTTGAAGGCTTTGTCCACATGTGTGGGGACCACCTAAATAGCCTTTAGTCATCTTTCTTTTATTGCTTAAATAGGGATAACGTAGAGTAGCAGGGATATCTCTAGTTTTTAGTCTTTTAGTGTAGTTTTAGTTTTTCCTTCTTTTGACTGGCCTCTGACACACGCCAGGTGTTCGACAAAATTCCCCAACGGGAAAAACATCTTTTATTCCTTGCTTCTTAATAGAAAACGCTATGCCTTTGCAATCCATTAATTCGTGTGGTGATTTAATTATGCGGCGTGGCTAAATCTTCCATCTAGTCAAGGGTAAACTCGACGGCGCAGTCCCGAAAATCTGTGAGATCTAATTAGTTTTCACGTGTTCCTTTATTTATTAATATTTGCACGTTATCTGCTTGAATTTTCATGGGATTATTTTATTAACTGGATGTCAAGGGCCCGATGTTCAATGTGATTTATTAATCTCGTGCCAATTTAGTCAATTAAATCCGTAATTGTTTGATTGATTAATGTTAGTGGCAACTGGTGTGTTTACACATTAGGGGAACGTGCAATCTAATTTAAATAACCCTCGTAGCGTGTTATTGGTTAGGGCTAGGTTTTTCTAGTTATTAATGCAATTGGAAAATTAATTCCTACGGTCGTACCTAGGAGTACTTTTCTGGTTAGAGGTGATTAATGGTCGTACCTTGGTCATCTATAATTTAAGGAAAAATTGGTTGTCAGATTATAACTGGCCTATTAATACATTAAGTGAACCTCTCCTGCATCAATGATCGGATAAATGGACTGTACCTGAGTAGTTGCATCCTTGGCTAGAATTTATTTATTCTTGACTTAATTCCTGTTTTACTTGTGCTAGTCATTTATTCATTTTTAGTTAAATTATTTAATTGTTCTTAG